GACAATAATAATTTTAACAACGAACATGGCTTAACCCCCCCCCCCCAATTTTAATTAAATATTGTTATGATGTCAGCTGTGAAAGCTTCAGGAATTTCACTTTCATTAATGTTTTTGTGGTATTTTTTTAACTTTCCCACAGTTAGAAATTAGGTTAGAAATTAGTATCTCTTTGACCTTGTAGCCTAATACAGCAAAACTGTAATCCTCTTTTACATATGCCAGATACCTTTGTTTTAATCTGGCGACATGAAAGTGTGGAATTAAAGATTTGGAGCTGTAGTTCCTTTAGACCTCTGGTAAAGAAAAATTATCAGTTTTCTTGTTTAAAACATTTTTAAAACACATTTGTGTAAAAACAATTGTGAAAGAAGTTTAAGGTAACATACTGAATCCGCCCCCCCACATCAAGAGTAGCAACTGTATTAAAAATACTAGAGGGGAAAAAGCAAAACGTGCTCCACCTAGTGTTCATCTGAGGAGAAATATTTTGTCCAGTTTTCTTGCTGCAATTAAACAAAGGCAAGTTGTACCTTTTCTCTGCATTTCTAAGATCCTTCAACAGGGTACTATGTCTTTAATTATGAACCTTCACTTTTTAATTCTGACCTCTTCAAATGTTGTGGGGTTGGCCGGTTTTTGCATCTCACCTGCCCAATTCTGTTTCAAGCGGGTTTGTAACAAATGTGCTTTGAAATACTATTTGAGCTTGACAACACTGTGATGAAGGAGAGTAGAGAGCCTTCAGCTGTGACACAAATGTCATGTGTAATACCTTATTGTTCAGATTCTAAGGCAGTAAAATCTCTTATCGAAAAAAGGAACTTCAGCATTTCACTTAGAAATGTAAAATACAGTATATAGCTAGTCCTAAGTGGAAAGTTCCATAGTAAAATGCTAGCAGTTTATTCTACTCAAGTCAGTCAGTTTCCTTCTAAGGTAAGAAACTTGCTTGTGCCCCAATGATATAAGTTGTTTGGTGAAATGAGGGAATTCTGCAAACTCCATTCTTCTAACTCCATTCCAGGTGTACAGAATGTCCCGAATACCACCTCTGCCATGGTTGTTTTAGAAGCGTTTGCCATCCCTCGCATACTTTTGCATTCCGAGAGGTACAGTCCAAAAACGTCATCTTAATTTATATTGCTCCAAGAGTTAAATAGACACACATTTATTTAGGGAAGTGGTATATTCCTCTTTTCAAACCAATCCATTTTGGAAAATCATCCATGTTGAAGAAAAATCTGCAGGGCTCTTTTCTTCCATCTCATTCAGAATTTGCTAAAGGATTGTCCATAAGTGCAGAAGAGAACAAAGTAGGCAAGGGTGACTTGAATCTCTCTTTCCTTCATTGCCTCTCTGGATTATACAATGTGATTTCCCCCCTCTCCCTGGTACTGTGCTATTAACTTAAAAAATGGATGTGGCAGTGTAATAGCAAATGACACATTAATGGACTAAGTAGCGGAGAGGTATCTGGAAACAGTTATTAACTGGGGAAATGTAGCAGAGCTTCTGAATCCTTGACAGACTCTTTCTGAAGTTTCAATTTGCTCAAGGATCAAATCTTGTCTGTCCCTTTCCAGCCTAAAATCAAGGTTTCCACTTCAGAAAACTGCCTAGTCATTTGCTGTCTTCTGCAGCATCACCTTTCCCCGTTTTGGTCAGTGTAACATGTGAATGATGCACTTGTTGAGTTTAGAATAATAATGGTGCGACCTCGTTTGGAGTACTGTGTACAGTTCTGGTCACCATACCTCAAAAAGGATATTATAGCATTGGAAAAAGTTCAGAAAAGGGCAACTAGAATGATAAAAGGGTTGGAACACTTTCCCTATGAAGAAAAACACTTGGGGCTCTTTAAGCTTGGAGAAACGACGGCTGAGGGGTGACATGATCGAGGTTTATAAAATTATGCATGGGATAGAGCAGGTAGAGAAAGAGGTACTTTTCTCCCTTTCTCACAATACATGAACTTGTGGGCACTCCATGAAGTTGCCAAGCAGTCAGGTTAGAACAGATAAAAGGAAGTCCTTCTTCACCCAAAGAGTGATTAACATGTGGAATTTACTGCCACAGGAGGTGCCGGCGGCTATAAGCATGGACAGCTTCAAGAGGGAATTAGATAAACATATGGAGCAGAGGTCCATCAGTGGCTATTAGCCACAAGGTATAGGTATATAAACATATGGAGCAGAGGTCCATCAGTGGCTATTAGCCACAAGGTATAGGTAGGAACTCTCAGTCTGGGGCAAGTGATGCTCTGTATTTTTGGTACTTGGGAGGGGGGCAACAGTGGGAGGGCTTCTAGTGTCCTGGCCCCGCTGGTGGACCTCCTGATGGCACCTGGTATTTTTGGCCACTGTGTGACAGAGTATTGGCCTGGATGGGCCATTGGCCTGATCCAACATTGGCTTCTCTTATTCTTAATTTTACGAACCATCTGCTAAGATGAGAACTCACCCGGAACCACATTTTTTTTAGCCCAGCTTATCCTCTTACCATCACGATTGTTTGTACAAATTGGACAGCGTTAGCCCAGCTTATCCTCTTACCATCACGAATGTACAAATTGGACAGCATTTTGGTGCTGATCATGCTAGCAGCATTGCACGTTCTGTGAGGGACAATGTTACCTGTAAGCATCACAGTCTGACCTGTTCTGTTCCTGAAGAAATGTTGCAGACATTGGAGCTAAGCAGGAACAGATTCTTTGCTAGAAGTCTGCACTGCTGGAGGCCACAGCCTGGTAGTTTTCAGCTGTTCGTTTTGACCCTGATGCAAGACCAGATTAATCAGACGGTTTGTTCTTTTCCTGTAAATGACTTTGAAATATCAAAAGCTGGAATGTCTCTTCATGTCATTACTGCTATTGCTTAGGTTTCATTAGCTCTTTTCCGTTCTCCCAGAAAAGAAATCAGAAATGGAGTTCAGTCGAACAGCTATTACAGCTGTCAACTCCAGAAGAAAACCTGAAGCACATTAATCCAGGAGAGAATTATCATGAAGAAAAAGACCAAGAGAAGTAAGAGGAGATATGTAATATAGTTCACTTGAATACTTTTTAAAGAAATCGAATTACATTCAAAAAGGGCAATTTAGAGAAAATAGTAATTATGTGCATTGTTCATGTGCATTGAACATGGTATTATGTGCATTGTACATGACTATCATCTGATCAGTCTGTTAGCTGTCCTCTCATGAAGGCAGGTTAGATCAGCTTTTGCCGATGTGCAGACTTTCTCTCTGGTTGCTCCATTATGGTGGAATAGGACATGCTGGCATTGGGTTGCCAGCATGCCTGGAGAAAACTGCCCCGTCCCTTTAATAGAGGCATAACGTTGGAAATGGGCAGTTGGCATGGAGGTAAATGACATCATCATCATCTGATAAATGACATTCTACTAAGCCACTGTTAAAGGGACAGGGCATTTTTCTCTCCAGGCAGTTAGCAATCCTAGTTAAGAAGGCTTCCACTTAATTGCAGTTCCCAATACTCTGCATAGCCAGATTCTTTTTCTACAAACGGTTAACATTTAATGGGTTTTCTCTGTGCATTACTTCTGTGAATTTGTTTCGTAATTTCTTTGGTTTTAATTTTTAAAAACTGCCACTGTAGAAATGTGAGCTAAACATAAGTTGAATGAATAAACATTACAGTCCTGCTGAAATGAGCAGCACTTGGCTGTTAGTAGCACTAGCACAATCAGTTTGTCTTCACTGCTGGTAGGATTGCAGGGTGGCTAAGCAATCCATTATTAACTTCACCTTTTGCTTGAAGAATGTTTCTTCAGTCTATATAATATTGCTTGTACCAAATGGGTTCAGGGGGGGGGGACAGGTAACTGATGCATCTTATTCCTTGTTTTTTAGGTTCAGCTGTATACCAGAGCACATAATAAAATCACTACCTACTGCGCTGGTTAGAAAGTGTAGCAGTTTACTTGATCCAGGTGTGCAGTGCAGACTCTGCCTGAAGATCTTTTGCCTTGGTCAAGTAGCAAAATTCCTGCCATGTAATCATAAGGTAAATAAAAGATACGTCTGACTAGGAAATAAGGACTCAGAGATCTCAATTTCTGCCTATATCTGAGGACTCTCAAAAGTTTATACTCTGAAAATCTTGGCGGTCCGTAAAGTGCTACGGGACTCGAATCTGGTAGGTCCGACTGAACAGCTGTGTCCAACGTAGTTTCCAAAATCTGCTCACAGACCACCTAGGGATTTTGAGGAGGCTGTTCCAAGTTCAGCCTCTGGACTCTCCAGTTAGCGCTTCTCAGGTGGCAAGACAGGGAAAGACAAGCGTCTGAGACCCTGGAGAGAGCCCCTGCCAGACGAGACAAGACGAGGTTACGTGTCCAGATAGTCTGACTTGGTATAAGGCAGATTCATGTGTTCTGTTTCTAAGCTCATGCAGTTCAGCTTCTAGCCCTACTAATCATACTAATTTGCATTGCCTTCCTAAAATGAAAAGTCAGAATTACAAAAAAACAACAACTAATAGATGGTTATTTAAAACATAAACGCATTCTACAATTGAGACTTTCTGACGTCTTCCCCTCCTACATCAGCCCAAAAGGTGACTCCTTGGGGACGGGGAACCCTCAGGAGCAGCACAAGAGGTGACCTGGGGGTCAGCAGCGGGAGGGAGAATTGATAAGGATCCCCCTCAGGTAGCAAAAAATTACCGTGGGATCCAAGCCAATATATGGATATCAGCAGTGGATTTCTGAGGGCACCAGTTCAATCATGGAACTTATCCAAGTTAAGAACTTCATGCCTATTTAAGTGTATTGATTTACAGCAGTCAATCCCATTTGAGGTAATGCATTTTCCATAGTAAATTGGCGTGCTTGGCCCCTGTACTCCAGAGATAAGTAGAATTGGATCCATGAGACTGTTTAAATTACTCCTGATTTGCACGATTCTTTAAAGTAGAATCTGGCCACTTTGCAAATACCTAGCTGCAGCCAGTGCCTGTCTGCTGAGGTCTGATTCAGATTGGAAATGAATGGTCTTTGTGGTGGATAATTATCAGCAATACAGTCTTTTATGCTTTTTATCTTTCAGTTTCACAGGAAATGCATCGACCATTGGTTACAGAAGGAAAATGGATGCCCTATAGACGGACATGTTGTGTATAATCCATTAACCTGGCAGAATGCCCCAAGCAAAGGCAAAGAAAATCCATTACTATCTCAAGTTAAAAACAAACTTGCAGAGCAGGCAGAACAGAAACTTTTCATACCAGGGACCGGATTGTTCATCCAGGGAACAAAACCTGATTATGGCTCTGAGAAATGTCAAACGCATTGTAAAGGTCCTTCAGAATTCGAACAGGATTTAACTCTGAATGGCTTCAGCTATGGTCACATGAGGAAATCTGGTTCTGGCCAGACTAACGTTCGGAAGACGGGGAATCTGAAGTTTTCTAGACATGTTAGGGGCTTGGCCGTTATTCCAAGATCTCGTTCTGATACGATATTGGAAACGCATGCACAGAATAGATCAATGAACACTTGTCTGTATTTTAAAAGCCTCAGCAGCTAGTGTCTGGAAAATGTCACATTCTGGATTTTCAAATTGTAAATTATGTCAGGGCTACATGGTGCTTGTGGAATTCTGATATATATGTTTAACATTAATATATAAAAATGGAAATTAAAAATCCGTGTAGGCTCTTTCACACTAAAATCATATGCCCCAGTCTTTCTTGCTGATCCTCATCTAGAGGAAATAACTTGTAAAATAGCTGACTAGTTCCATGGTTCATGCAGGAGCTCAGGGTATACTTCTGTAGTTTTTAAAAGTATTAAATCTCAACAGTTGAGCTCCACCTAACACTATTGCCAAACAGCTGGTTGGGGGGATTTCAGCTTTTAAAAAGGTTTGTATGCATACTGTATTGGATTGGCACCATTAACATAGCAGCATTTCCTGATATGGTTTGGAATCTGCAGAACATTTCAGCTTGATGGAATAGATTGCTGTCAGAGGAGTGGACTTTCCTCAGCTTCCCTTCCTACCACATCCCCAAATGCCCCCCAAAGTGTTGTTCCGGGGGGACAAGGGCCCTCCAGGAACAGCACAAAGGGGGAGTCCAGAGGTCTTGTGAAATTACTCTTTTTCCATTCACAGAAATCCTCACTGGAGTGGATATCTCCAGAACAGCAAATATATTGCGGATACATGAACTAGGAAATCTGTAAGTAAGAACCAGGAAAGTTCAAGCTGCCAGAGCTATCATCAAAGGATATTGTAGGTGGATGAGAGAAGAACATAAATGTATGACTTAGATCTCCTTACCTGGGTTGCAGTAGGTGAGACTTCCTGCACAGACGTGTCAGGTTGCTGCAAGGGCAGGAAGGGCTGGACCACATTCTTAAGAATGAAAGTCGAGTGTAGCATATTTTAGATCTTGCTCATCTGTTTTACTGATGGAGCTCTTTAATGGGGCAGTGTTTGTTCAGAGCAAGTTTACACCGGACTTCATTTGCATGCGCTTGTTTTTGTGAATTCAGTAACCCTGAGGCAGTGTGAAGTCATTTGATAAAAGCACAAATCCTCTTTAACTGTAAGATTGGAAGCAAAAAGATCTTCACAGAGAGAAAGGAGTTGATCTTCAATGTGGTCTCTGTGCTTCACACCCATGGGATCTAGTGCGCACGCGCTGGATCGATCGGCATTGTAGCAAGCTCTTAACGGATTTTCGCGCCCAGACCTCAGGCATGCGCAGGAACCGCACCGTGCATGCCCAGAGGGGTGGGCACGGACATCCCGCCAGTTCCTTTCTTGCCGCTGCGTTGGAAAGACCCTTTCTTCGTCGGTCTGATCGGTTCCCTTTTTGGCTATTTGCCTCACGGCTCTTCGGATTTTTCCTCACAGAGGCTCCCGACATCAATTCACTTCGGAATCGACACGCCTCTAGCAGCACGCAGCGTCACCCTCCACGTCTGCGTCTTGAACCTATCGATATCGATGACCAAGTTTATAGGGACCGCTCTCAAAGGCAGACTAATGCTTTGTCTCTGAGACGTGCCCAATCCAGAGGTCGATCCCCCCATCTTTCTACCTCCACCACCCCCTCTGTCTTGGGATCAACGCCAACTGAGGTATCTCTATGGAGGTTATCCACCATCCATGCCGTGGTTGACTCCGGCGGGCTATTCCAACTGGGATCGTTACTCGACCCACTCTGCTCACAGGTCAAGGTCG